TATAAAAAGGGGGAGATTTAACAATAAATGAGACAATTACAAAATGTTACAGGAACAATAGGTTGATGAGGACCCTACTCAAACGAGCTTGCAGTCTAGAGGACCAAGTGTGTGTTCACAAACCCTGACATTCTGTCCAAACTCGGGTTATCTCACAATTGGACTCTGGGATGGTTTACAGAGCACGTGTAAGACAGGACATAAATAGAAAAGTTCTATTAGCATAAATGCCATAGTTACAAAACATTACACAGCAAAGCTATATTACGTGTTATATTTTATTTTCAGTAAAATAAAAAATGATGACCGTTTTCCTTTGTGAGAACGATGTTATTGGGCTATAACAGAAGAATGCAACAGATCAATTTTAAACACATTCTATATCAGTGAAACATGCATGTAGCTTTAATACATTCAATAACAGCATCCTTTTTCAATTGCAGCTCGTGAACAGAGTTGATCAGTTTGTAGTTGATTATAGCCTTGAAGACGGACGTATCATTCTTCATTTTGATTCGGTATGATCATTTTACATCCCACCTCTTTACCGATCATAACCCTGGCTTGTTCTCTGTAATCATTTTTTGTCTTTTGTAGATTTCGTCCGATGTGTATGTATGTACTACTGTACGTGTGAGGCAAATGTTTAAAGTCAGGATGTTGAGTCCAGCAACTTTTAAGGTCTATGAATTTCATGCACCAGGTAATTAATATTAAGCCAAGGCTTGAACTTAATAAAATTGCCCCCTCTCCAAAAATAACACAGGCCTCACAAAAGTCCCAATTTCAGTGGACAGGCTCCTGTCCCGCTGTCCTGACTTTTTTATGCATTCGTGCCAGGCTGACCTGCCAATTCCATGGGCGGACCCCTCCAAATTGCATCATTGGTCCATATTACTCTGCCCACTGGCATCCTGCTTAAAGGGATGCTGATGTTGGGGGTATGATCATACAAATAATATATTTCTGGTTCAGTAATGGATGAGCAATTAAATGCACCAGTCTCTTTACACTCAGTGCTCCCTACCTTAGCTTCATTCAGTGGGAAGCACATGTCCTATATCACACTCACCTGCACATGGGGTCTGAAAAACTGTAATGTTTCAACCACACGCTAGGCATTGTGTGATTTCATAATCAGCATTTAAAGAAAGAATGTGCTCATATTCATGGGAATGTTTGTAGCGACTTTTTTTCATCAACAATTCCCACAACATTTAAAAAAAACTCTTTTGTCACTAATGTTTGTTTCTCTTTTTGTTCCAGAACAACAGTGTACAATATTTTACAACCCCTACGCGGACGATAAACTGGTGAAAATTTGTAGCGGAGATCAGTGTCGATGTATGGCAGGTAAGCAGGCGTTGGGAGTATTAAAATGTTGCTGTCTATGGTAATACAATGCATTACAAAATACTGAACCACAAATCAGTCTGCCAAAGGGGATCATTAAAAAAAGCTACAAAACATTTTAAAACGACTCTCAGATTTAATAAAAACTTTTTACTTCTGGCCTTAGAGTTCTAAAATCTTATTGTGATCAGAACTCTATTCTCGTCGTTTGGCAAGCCATTATTAAGATTTAACATTTCTGCAGTAACCCAGTCTTCCCAGGAGAAGCATCACTGAAAACAATTTATTATGGGCAATTCCCAAGGATTTACTGAAATTTATGTATCTGTATGACCGTTGGGAGCCACCAAAATAATATGTACCAAAGGGAATACCAAACCAATCCCAGCATTCCCAAAGGTAAGGAGGCTGGGGGGAGGGGTTAAATTAAAAAAAAAAAGTTTTAATGAGAGTGATTGTGTGTGTGTGTGTTTGACTGTGTGTGTGTTTGACTGTGTGTGTGTTTGACTGTGTGTGTGTCTAACTGTGTGTGTGTCTAACTGTGTGTGTGTCTAACTGTGTGTGTTTGTGTCTGACTGTGTGTGTGTGTTTGTCTGACTGTGTGTGTCTGACTGTGTGTGTTTGAGTGTGACTGTGTCTGTGTGTGTGTTTGTGTGTGTGTGTCTGACTGTGTGTGTGTTTGCGTCTGACTGTGTGTGTGTGTGTGTCTTTGTATCTGACTGTGTGTGTGTCTGACTGTGTGTGTGTGTGTGTTTGTGTCTGACTGTGTGTGTGTGTGTGTGTGTATTTAGAAGGTTGGGTGGGGGTGGCGCGGGGGGAGGGGGGTGCCTGAGTTTTGTCCTGCTTAGGGCAGCACAAAACCAGGATACACCACTGCTATGATCAAATCATTGCTATCACTTTTAGTGCCACCAATTAGACAAAGAATCAGCTCCCATAGCCTTAATGCACCATAACTACTACAATACGCTTTAGTGATTATGGTGGTTGGAAAATCTGTTTAATGGCCATTTAATTTTTATTTGATGTGCTAATGATTATTTTTGGAAAGTAATTGTTATGTTAGTCAGTGCTTAAAGCTTTCTAATGTTGTGACTTTCTGTGTTCGAAATGCAGCTGAGTGCCCGAAACACCAAACCAAAATGGATCTGACAATTGGGGCAGATGCAAGAAAGAAAAAGGCATGCAATAGCGACCTTACATATGGTAAGAAGCTTTCTTTATGTGCAAAGTCCACGCTATATATAGAAAAATTATCTTTATAATTTCAATATATCCAATATATTATTGTGCCTGCATGGTAGATAATTTTCTGAAAGTAACACTAAGCACTCTAACCACTGCAGCACGCTGTAGTAGTTATGGTGCAGGAGTGCCTGATGCTCCCTAATGTAAGTAGGCAGAGCATTTGCTAAGGATTTGACCACTTACAGGCACCCAGGTGGCTGTCATTTCGTCTGTTAAGAGCTGGGAGCTCCTTCATGGAGCTTCCATTAGCTCTCCTGAGCCAAATCCTATCATGCAGAGTCAGTTTGTTATCTGAGAGCATCAGTTTAACTCTCAGCCAATGAAGTAAGCCCTGCACTGCCAGACTTAGCTCAATGCAGAGAACTTCTGGCTCTCATCAAGGAGGTGACCAGCATCATGACCACTACAGTGCACTGTAGTAGTTATGGTGCTTAGAGTGTTCCTTAAATGTTATTTTTTTCATGAATAATTGATGCAAATATATATTTCATTGACTATGTTGGCTTCTTTTAAATTTTGATTAGGGAATTATTCACTAAACACTAACGTGTAGGCAATTGAAAGCCAAATTGAAAAATGTACACAAACCGATGCTTTCTGAACAATTACATTTATATTTAAATTATTTATTGCACCAGCATAATAAATTAATTTGAAATTGAATTGCTTGATATATAAAATGATTGACATAAAATGAATCCATTTTCTTTTGTCTACAGCATATAAAGTTCAGATCGAGGAATCCGAACGAGATGTTAATTTTGTGAAATACACTGCAACAATTCTAGACATATTCAATAAAGGTCAGACACTTATATTTACTTATATAGACTTTTGCGTTTATAATTTTTTTAAGGGGATCTGTTTTTTAGTGATATTGTTATAATTTATTTAGCGCGCATACAGACATTTAAAAAAAATTCAAAATTTTCCTTTGATGATCCGAGATATGTTCAATTTAATTTGTTTCCTTTCTTGGGTCAACAGCAGCAACTGTGATGTATGAAAGGTTTCACTTGATCATTCTGAGTCTTTTATTAAAATCTATCTGCTATAAACCTTCTGTTATTAAATATACATCTACCTTCTTATCTTCTCATTCCAAGGTACCGCGTTAGTAAAATTAAACAAAAAAATCAAGTTTATAAAAAAAAAGACCTGCTCTGATTTTGATCTATTGAACGGAGATCAGTTTTTGATGATGGGCAAAGATGGAGCTTCCATTAGAACTGGATTTGAATTTCAGTGAGTAATGCTATTATTCATTTTTCATATTATTTCACAATAAATAAATTTTTGTTTTTTTTTACTTAGAAAAATAGGGAATGAGCTATTTTTTTAGGTACACACTCCTGAGGACACCTATTCTATTGATCAGTATTACTTTTTGTTCTTTACTTCATTACAATTATTTATAATGGGTGTTCGTTCTTTTCTGGTTCATTGCTAGCATTTTAGTTTTAATACCTATTTAGTGGAGGTATTCATCATGACCACTTTTATACTTTTACTCAATAAAAGTTATGTTTTATATGTATATAGTTATAACTCCCACTTCCCTATACACTGTGTAACACACTCCATTGTTGTTTTTTTTCTTAACTGTTTTTTTTACATGCCACAAATAAGACAGCTTATTCTCCTTTCTCAAATTAAACCTAAAAAACATTGACGTTATTGAGCTAAATTAATACTAAACAGTGCAAAACAAACATTGTAAAGTCCCGAACACCTTCACCTTTTTCTAACGCACTGTCACTCTGCAGAGAAATTAACTCCTCTATCAAAACTCTATTCTATCCCTCTGCTTCTCTGCAGATGGACCGATAATTGCTAAGCACCAGGCACTATATAAATCAAAATAATTTCATTATACAAGCCAGGGAGGGGAAATTAATTTTGAATTCTCAACAACACTCATTTTAGTGAATAATCTTGAATGTGTACATTCTCAGGTTTTTTTTAGACACTTTATAACTCTCCCTGACTTTGTGGGACCATGCTTAGCCAATAATCTAAGAAGTACTTGTCTGATCATATATTTTATTTTTTTAAGGTATGAATACCCATTGGACTCCAGCACTTGGGTTGAATGGTGGCCAGAAAACTGTGACTCACAAACATGTGAAACATTTTCGACGATCCTTAATGATTTTTCGGAAAGCATCCTTTTTGACGGCTGTTAATAATATTGCAATTTTCTTTTTTTCTAACAACAAAAATTTTATATAATCCATATAAACTCAAGTCCATTTGAACAAAAATAAAGTATTAAGAGAATGGTGAATGTATTTATTGAGTGAAATTGAATAATACTTTCTACATGTTGCATCAAATTTACTTGAAAAGATTTACTGAAACTTTATGTTCACTTTTACATTTAACTCTAACTTTTTGTTGTATTAGATGTGTCTAATTAATTAATTACAAAAAATATAATTACACATTTAAGTAAATGGTTTACTACAAACCATTAGTAAACTGGATCAGATCAAAAGATAATGAAACTTATTGTAAGGTAAGTAGGGGTGGATAGGCATGGGGTAAAACTTTGTGGGTGTGGGGATAAAACAATAACCCACATTTGGTCATTCTAGAGTCTTTGTTCTCATACAGTCCTTCTCAAGGAAAGATTGGGAGATGATTAGGTGGATCAATGCAGCTAATAAGATGACCCATACCAGGGAATGCATGTATGGAGACAATGAAATGGCAAGGGGATCCCTCAAGGTTAATCCTACCATTTTGGGGCTGTATGGCTTTCTGGGGAATTATTTGATGCAGTAGATCTGCACAAGTATTAAAGCTTTGCCTTCTGAAATGTGCACATATTAGTGAGCATTAGAGAGATTGCAACTGGAATTCCCAGACAATATTTCCTTGTGACACTGTCTTGGCATGAAAACAGTTTTTTGTATTTTTTGAACTAATATTCTTTTTAAAAATTTCCTTCTGATAGAGAAAAACAAATACTTAGAACTATGCCGATGTCAAAAACGCTAATTCCATAAAATGCATGCATGTGTGGGCAGGTGAGAGCTGACTACATTTGGCCTGGAGGCAAATAAATAGCCCAGTGTGAAACCAATTTGACAATCTACACTCCTTTTCTTACTTCTATATTAAAGGTTATTATGTTATAACTACAACACAATAATAATAATAAAAGATAAAGTTTAATAAAGTTTGGTATTGAGCTGCAATGGAGCGGCCCACAATTCTCTCGATTGTGGCCTGGGGGAGCAAGTGCCCTCCTACAATCCTGTCCCTCCCCCAGCCCTCCCCTGTGTGTGGGTATACCCATTTGTAAGTGATTAAATAATCTATATAAAGGACGCAATGTGAGAATAGCCTGAGACAGTTAGGATTAGAGGGTTTTGACTATAAATAAGGAGACTGTAAATGCGGATCTATAACAATTGTTCATCAAAATAGTAAGTACAAAAAGATAAGTAGACATATTAGTAAAAATAACCAAAGGTCAGTGGGTGGGTAGAACAAAGTTTATTTATTTATTATTCACATTTATGTAGAGCTAACATATTCTGCAGTGCTTTGCAATTCTAGAAAAGGGATATTTAAGGTAGTTATATATCATTAGGTGTCATGCCTAATGGCACTAACTGGGTTAGTGTTAGTGGTTACTGGGTTGACTGGTTGGCTTGAAACCGGGGTTTCCCAATTCTACGTCAGTGTCATTACCACTGTACTAACCAGCTACATTGTTAGGAACTGGTATTGTAAACTAAGTGAGGCGTTACTCACATAGATAGCCTTACAGTTGGCACTTAGAGCAGTCTGTACTGGAAGCCAATAAAAAACAAAAGCTAAATTGTGGCATTGCTGCATGGTCCAAGCAGTGATATCTCCCGCATCAGCCGGCTTGCTTCATCATTCCTTTCTGGGGACAAATGGGAACAACGTCCTAACATCCTCGTTGTGGGCAGCATCGTCAACCCAGGTTTTTGATGTTTGTCAACAGAAAATTAACCAGAAACCTGCATTTCATACCAGCTCCCACACAATATAAACTCTGGCCATTTAAATTTTTGTTAAAGTGGCTAAATCTTGTAAATCTGCCTTATTATGAGTATCATTGTGTATGTGACTAGGTGAAGTATGATTTTTTTCTCTCTCCGATAATATGTATTTTTCTTCCTTAGGTAAAAAACACAATGTTTTAATCATATGAATATAATTTGGGCATGTGAACGGTTACACTCTTTTTGTTAATTGCAGTAAATATTGGGCCCTGGGGAGATGCAATCACAATTTTCTACCAGCAAAGATTGATTTGTATCAAGATGAAACATGCCTTGAGCTTCTATGGCATGATTTACACAGCTGTTTCTCTTTTATGACGTGAACCTTTTGAGACCTTTAAGCATCTCTTTAGATTAACTTCAGAAATGTGACGTCTCAGTTTTATTGGGGAGAAAGGGGCAGCCAATAAACTACAGTTGTAAGAATAAAATCCTGTTGGAAGAATTTACAAGGATTTCGAGAAATTCCGAAACATTTGTTTGGCTTGTGGAGCTCCTGCAGCTACCAAGTCAATTACTAAACAAAAAGTGAGTCTGGCAAATCAGCGTTTAACCCCTTGCAATAACGTGCATACACAGTTGAAAAAGGTTATGCATGCATGCCTTGTATACAAATGATTAACCATTTTATTAACTTTCAAATTAAAGAATCCAATTCTGGTACTAAATTATATTTTTCTGCAATTCTTTTGATTTTTGTTTTTAAAACTATCTGTAAAACAATGGTCAAAGTACTCAAAGCTGAAAATCAAGCAGCTTAAACGTAATAAGCAGTTGGCAGCTCAAAATTACACAGCCATCAAGCACTGACGAACCACGATGTGGTTAACTTAGCACTGCCAAGAGTTTTTTTCCAGCTATTTACCCACTGGCTGCTAGTGTTGTGTTCGGGCAAATTGGATTTCAAACTATTGTTCTCTTGCCTAAAAGCAAGTGACTGATAATTTGTGAATGTATATCCTGCTGAATGCCTTCCAACCCTATTGTGTGTAAAATTGATGCTTTGTAAATATTCAAAATTATACACTTGGTAAAGGGATCGGATGTGAAGCACTGATTTTAAACCAGACACTACATGCATCTGGCCGATTGCTGCAGATTCAGTTAGGTTCATTGAATTCTAACCAGAATTACGTTTAGCACAAATAAGAGAATTGCCATTTGGATTGGAATTTGGCCATTTTCGCTGAGGGCTGGGGGGCACTAGGATACTCCCCTTACTTTTCTATTTACTAGAGCTCCCACCTCCCCTCATTATTTAATTTTTAGCCTCCATCCAATACCCACAGCCGCTGGCTGCTCAATGTTTAGTAAACATGTCCCAGGTACACAAGGAAGTTATTAAACCGCCCATATTCTAATATGGGTCATATTGAACCCCATAGACTCTTTTATGACAATTTGCTTACTAGCTGAAACTGTTGGCAGAGAGCAAATAGTAAAAAAAAAAAGTATCGACAAGTTTTAGTGATTGAATCCGATAAGACCATTTATTGGTCACTATGTGAATTAAATCATCTCAGCAAATATTTTCAATAAAAAGCATATGTAAAGGTTTTAAATTATTGGCTTCCGATAAGCTTTTAACGAGGTTTGTTTAATCAATCTCAACCGATAAATGGCTCTTTCGGGTTTGATAAACTCCCAATATAGACCATCTGCAGCTGCTGTAATTTAATCAGGCTTAAGCTATATAGGACAATATTTTCTAACACTTTTGTCAACTCAATATTTAGTGAATTAGGGGGCGGGGCCTGACCACTGAGAGCAGAGGAAGCAAACTTGTATAGCTCCTGCTCTGCAGTTCTAATTAAGGGGAATTCGGCCATCAAAACAGGACCTAAACGGCCCAAAAAGGACACCAAGCGGAAGGCGACAAACAGGGGCACATAATGATGCCACACAAGTGACAACTTCGGCATACTACATCTGCCCTACCCATGAGGCCTACACACGTGGTCGGCGTGAGGGAGACGGCCGCTCCCCCGCCGACATCTACGGCTGACAAGCGGAGACCAGCCCCTCGTCCCCCCCCCTATGGTCCGGTGGGGGTTATCCCGGTCCACCCTCGGGAGACCCTGGTACAACCCGGTAAGAATGCCGCGGCGACACAGGGTCCCGCAACAAGCGACGACACTGCACCCAAAATGGCGGAGGCAGCATGCTCCTCCAGCACTCACAGAGAGCAGCCAGAGGTCAAGCACAGGCTAGACAAGGCCTTCCAAATCTTCTGGGACAAACTGGAGGCTCTTATGTTCCCGGCGAACCCAGCGACTGCACCTGACACCCGGCCACACGCTCACCCAAGCAGAGTCAAACAAAAGAAGGCGCAGACACCTCAAACACCGAGCCGCCCAAAAGGCCGAAAGCAGCGGGACAATCCAAGGCAGCAGGGGACTGGAGATCAGTCGGGTGGCAACAGGAGCATACCCACTGCCCCTGGGAACCAGCGGGTAACAGTGCGGACGCACATCGACCCACCCTCACGCCAGCCTGATAACGGGGGCCCAACACCAAGAGGCCAGACCCACACGAGCGCACATAGACATCTGCATCAATCCATGGGCCTCATACAAGGCTACACCGCCATGGGGAACAACATGCTGGCTGCAGGAGTGGGCTAAGTGACTTTTGGCATACGTAATAGGCACCCAGTCTGCTGGAGTAGTTAAAAGAATAACTGTTGAACGTTTCTTGTTTAACTCAGCGAACACCACACACTCACACCTGTACTGACACCTTGTCACCTACGAGCTTTGTGCCGCATACATGATTGCCTAGCATTACATGAGCCTACGTCCACATATATGCCACTCAAGTACCTAGCACGTATGTCTCAACTTTACTCGCATGCCCAAATAATACATACCGACCACATAGTCTACACTACTCTATATAAGGACATGTATGATAATACTATGACCCAAATACTCAACGTAAGTTTCAACCTGTTAAAATCTAAGTATATTCTTGAATTGTCTAAGCTTTTTAATCCATAGCTATTATCAGGAGCGCATTTTTAGTACATATTGGCCACTCTACGGCTCTTAGTATTACCCAGCTACAACATGTGTACTTATTGTTAACTTAGCGATTGTTAGCATGTTATACTCTATAAATATTAAATGTGCAACTCCTCAGATATGCCACTGAAAGTTTTGATATTGCTCACAGTAGCTGTTGTGGCACTGCAAGCATGTATGTACCCAAATGCACAAGAAAAATAAAGAATTATAAAAAATATTTAGTGAATTAACCTCTTGACTTTATTAGTAAATCTTGTTTGATGTATATGTACGTATTATGTTTTTTATTCTACACACATATATGTTTCTCAGAAATCCATTTTGGGTTAGTGGGAGTTTCTGAGATGTTATAGATTAATTTAGGAGTCTCATATAAGAAGCAGGGGGCGTCGGGCAAATGACAAATGATCCTGTAACTAACCATTACTAACCATCACCCACTAAGTCCCGTTATTACTAAAGACAAGACAACTATATTAAAGTGGATAGGCCAACGACATTAATAAACTTTGCCAGCTTAAGTATTAATTGACGGGGTGACTGCTTGCTATAGAGATAAGTAACTCCAGAATTCAAATAGTCCAAAAAGCCTGTGCTTCCCCAAGCCCAAGCATAATTGATAAAATGTGCTAACCAAAACTACCGCCAAGCTGTGACAATAAGAAGATACCAAACAACAACAATGAAACAACAAAACATAACCCAACCACACAAATTAGAAAAGGGGAGGGGGAGAGGAGCCGCTCTCGTCTTCTTGAAACTAGACTGGGAAGGAAGTGGTAAGTTAGAATACATAGTCCTTGTGTCCTAAATTACAACATTGTTAAACTCCTAGTATGTGTGTTGCTAAGCCAGCCACGCATGCCAGCAGTCAAGACCACCTTTCCTAGAATGGCAGGGGGTCATTTAACTGCACAGAAATATTCCAACGTATGAAGCAAGGAACCACTCACATGTAATATAATATGCCAGGCGTTAGTAAAGCAGCATAACATGATTCCACGCTATTCATCATAAGCGTAAATGAACCCACCCAGAAGAATGGCAGAGTATTAAAGGGACATTCACATCAGGAATGTGTATTATCCTATTTATTTTATTTACTTTAAAATATATATATATTTCTGTAGTGCATAAGAATACAAATAAACTTGCAGTGCCACAACAGCAGTAACAAGCTCTGCTGAGTACACAGCATAACAAATGTGTGATAATCTAGTATACTGCACAAATCAGGCTAATCGTGCATGTGTCCTATAGTCTGTAAGCTCATTTGCCTATAGACTGTAAGCTCATTTGCCTATAGACTGTAAGCTCATTTGCCTATAGACTGTAAGCTCATTTGAGCTTCAACCTATTGTTCCTGTAAGTTTTCTTGTAATTGTCCTATTTATTGTAACATCCCCCCTCTCAAAATATTGTAAAGCGCTACGGAATCTGATGGCGCTATATAAATGGCAATAATAATAATAATAATAATAATGTGCATACATTATACACAAATTACGCTCTTAGATTAGGAAGTGTATCCAGACATGAAGATTGCTCTTATTGTAAATATTTTTTGCACACTGCATAGGTTATCATGAGAAATACCGATTGTGTAACAAGAGGAGAGATTGTGACTATATTGAATCATAGACAGATAAATGGCATGGCACGCATAGCTAAATGAAGAGAAAATAGGAAGAGAGTGGTCAAAACACATGCATTGAGTCATAGGATTGTTCTGTTGTCATGGGAGGGTTGCCCTCAAAATAGATAACAGTGAGAGAACATAGCGTGTGTAAATAAAGCAAGAAAAGTGGAAACTCAACATATATTAATTGTATAAATCTTGAAAGTGGTGTGTAGCGGTTGCATTTTTACTGCTGGTACCGAATCCACACATAAGTTGGAGACTTGAAATAGCTCAGCAGCTGCAGTGATAGCAGGGACTCCACGCCTGCAAGATAGGACATCTCAGGAATAACACTCAGCCGAACTCTTGTTCAGGCAGACCCGGAGCATATTCATATAGTCCGCTGAGAAGCGCAGCATATCGATGTCAGGATGAAGCACACTGCCCATATCGGGCTTCCCTCTAGTTACATAGGTGGTGCTTTGGGGTTGCACCCCATGTGGCCTTCCGCCCAGATACCTTCCAGGTTAGTCATAGTGTTACATATGGAGAATACACAAAATACAAAGGAAATCAGCACTAATTAACAAACAATATGAAGGTAGGCAGCAACCCAAACGAAGGAGACGACTCAAATCCTTCAACAAAGGGGAAAATACAGAGAAATGGGGTAGGGCTGCACCAGCAGAAAAAATAAAATAACGTAAAATAGTCCAAAAGAGTCTCACTAGAGCAACAATGCTTCATGGAATGTGGATGAGTGGACTTTTCAGTAGAGGTGGGCGCTTCCTAGTGTCTGAGGGTATTCGCATATATGAAAAACAAGGAGACGGGACAGCCAGTAGTAAAATAGTAGTAGAAGATAAAGAACTCACATTTAAAAGAGCTATGGCCAGCTCTGGTGTGAAGGGCGTACAGGGATATAATCCTCGCTTATGGGATGTGTAAAGGGAGTGCGTCTGTCAACACCATCTGGTCTTTCAAGGCTCCAAATAGGGATTAAAAGAGGTGACAATAGTGCTCTCTATTGCATAAAAGTAAGTAAAAGTAACTGAAATAATACTCACAGGTACAGAGCAGAAATACTGCTCTATTAATAAGGCGTTGGTGGTATGATCTGCACCTGGGATTTCTCTAAGTGCAGGAAAAGCCATAAAAAGTCAGGGAAGTAAAAATAAAAATAATAAAAGTGCATAAAAATACAATAAAAAGAGAATTGGCACAATGTAGTAACCAAAAACCTTGAATTGATCTAAAATATACAATATACCGTTTCACCAATATAGGCTTTCTCAAACTTTTTTTTATGCCATTTGAGAAAGCCTATATTGGTGAAACGCGTAATGGTTATTTTATATTGGCTATAGTGTTCCTTTAACTTTAATAAATGTTTAAATTACTATAAAAACCATTAAAGCATAATAGATATACTTAATTATTATTGTTATTGGCATTTATAGAGTTCTAACATATTCTGCAGCACTTTACAATTCTAGAACAGGGATGACATACACATGGTTAGTCACTGTAGTGAGAGCTGTCAGGAATTCAGAGTAAATTCAAAGTGAATTTCAAATGTGAAGACAAAGTAGCATATCTGACTTGGAGAATTGTACCAGTTTTTTAAGTTTGAAATTCACTTTGAAATTCACTAAGAAGAGGGGAGGACTGAGGCTCAATGTTCATTAGTTTTTCCACTAAGTGGAGCAGAGATTCAACAGGGGAGAGAGAGACAATTACAATTCATCATTATTTTGATCATAGAATCATTAAAGCGTTGTGGAAAATTCGTAGTAAATCCTGCCAGTTATCACAGAAATTACTGAAAGATTTAGAATGAGAGAAAGGAGAGTTGTGTCTAAAAGATTGATAAATCTATTGTGTCTGAAAACAATGGCGTATATTCAAAAATGAGGATTAGCGTGCGATAGAAGGTAATAGATGAAAAAACCTGACAGAGTGAATAAACTGCCCAAAATATTCACTGAAAATGAAAGGTAAAAGTGTCAGCAACTCTCTGATAAATCACCTTCAAAGTACCCCTGTAAAAAATGTTTAAATGTTGGCAACTAAGCAATTCTATAAATAAGTGTTGAAATAAACACTTTAAAAATGTAAGTTGCATAGAGTATCATGCAATCTGTAAAGATTCTAACCTTCCAGAAGACATCAGTTGATAAATTTAATCTCAGTGATGTAATGCAAGCCATTTCTTTCAGCAGGAAACCCCCTCCAAGCACAATGGGTTCTTTCATAAAATCAAGATTTCATAATATTCACTTCCATAGCTCTGTCCTATTCTATTAAAGAGACGCAACGAATAGCAAAGGCTGACAGCTGGCTTCACGGGATCCACAATGCTTTGCCAACTATAAAATTGCTGTAAATAATAGAACTTTCATGTAACTTTCGATGGCTTATTCGCCGAACAGTGATTTGTGCACAGTTGAAATTTAAGCAGAAATAGAGATAATAAAATAAAACCCTCCAAGTCGGCGATTTTAGAGTATTATGACATTTATCATCAGCGGAACTCGGCACGTTGTTCACCGTTGAATAAGTACCCAGTGAAAAGAAAACTGTAACGGACCGTTTTGCACACCAGGGGTTAATAACCGTTTAGGCGATATTCCCCTTTCAGATCCACAGGCAGCTACTGCAATCACCAATCTCCCGAACTGCTAACTACAGTCAGGTCCATAAATATTGGGACATCAACAGAATTCTAATCTTTTTGGCTCTATACACCAACACAATGGGTTTGAAAAGAAACAAACAAGATGTGTTTTAACTGCAGACTTCCAGCTTTAATTCGAGGGTATTCACATCCAAATCAGGTGAATGGTGTAGGAATTACAACAGTTTGTATATGTGCCTCCCACTTTTTAAGGGACCAAAAGTAATGGGACAGATTAACAGTCATAAATCAAACTTTCACTTTTTAATACATGGTTGCAAATCCTTTGCAGTCAATTACAGCCTGAAGTCTGGAACGCATAGACATCACCAGACGGTGGGCTTCATGCCTGGTGATGCTCTGCCAGGCCTCTACTGCAACTGTCTTCAGTTCCTGCTTGTTCTTGGGGCATTTTCCCTTCAGTTTTGTCTTCATCAAGTGAAATGCATGCTCAATCGGATTCAGGTCAGGTGATTGACTTGGCCATTGCATAACATTCCACTTCTTTCCCTTTGGTTGCTTTTGCAGTATGCTTCGGGTCATTGTCCATCTACACTGTGAAGCGCCGCCCAATGAGTTCTGAAGCATTTAGCTGAATATGAGCAGATAATATTGCCCAAAACACTTCAGAATTCATCCTGCTGCTTTTGTCAGCAGTCACATCATCAATAAATACAAAAGAACCAGTTCCATTGGCAGCCATACATGCCCACGCCATGACACTACCACCACCATGCTTCACTGATGAGGTGGAATGCTTTGGATCATGAGCAGTTCCTTTCCTTCTCCATACTCTTCTCTTCCCTTCACTCTGGTACAAGTTGATCTTGGTCTCATCTGTCCATAGGATGTTGTTCCAGAACTGTGCAGGTTTTTTAGATGTTGTTTGGCAAACTCTAATCTGGCCTTCCTGTTTTTGAGGCTCACCAATGGTTTACATCTTGTGGTGAACCCTCTGTTTTCACTCTGGTGAAGTCTTCTCTTGATTGTTGACTTTGACACACATACACCTACCTCCTGGAGAGTGTTCTTGATCTGGCCAACTGTTGTGAAGGGTGTTTTCTTCACCAGGGAAAGAATTCTTCGGTCATTTACCACAGTTGTTTTCCGTGGTCTTCCGGGTCTTTTGGTGTTGATGAGCTCACCGGTGCGTTCTTTCTTTTTAAGGATGTTCCAAACAGTTGATTTGGCCACACCTAATGTTTTTGCTATCTCTCTGATGGGTTTGTTTTGTTTTTTCAGCCTAATGATGGTTTGCTTCACTGATAGTGACAGCTCTTTGGATCTCATATTGAGAGTTGACAGCAACAGATTCCAAATGCAAATAGCACACTTGAAATTAACCCTGGACCTTTTATCTGCTCCTTGTAAATGGGATAATGAGGGAATAACACACACCTGGCCATAGAACAGCTGAGCAGCCAATTGTCCCATTACTTTTGGTCCCTTGAAAAGTGGGAGGCACATATACAAACTGTTGTAATTCCTACACTGTTCACCTGATTTGGATGTAAATACCCTCAAATTAAAGCTGAAAGTCTGCCGTTAAAGCACATCTTGTTCAGTTAATTTCAAATCCATTGTGGTGGTGTATAGAGCCCAAAAGATTAGAATTGTGTCAATGTCCCTGTAGCGGAGCTGCAATATTAAATCCCAAGATCTCCGGTGGTACAGAAAGAAATCCAAAGTAAAGCGCTGGAAAGTAAGGCAATATCCCAAATCCCCCAGTAACCGGACGAAACACAGTTGTGGGAGTCAACTGACGATTTTA